GTACGCCCGAGGTGCCGATTTCCGCTCCGCGGTAGGCGAAACCTCGAGGCAGTTTCGGACTCTGACGTGGTCAGCCTGACATGTAGGCCGCACATGCTTCTGATACAGCGCTTCGAAGCCCGAAACTGCCTCTAGGTTTCTCCCCACAGAGCGAAAACGGGCTCCTCGTGCGCTCTACCCAGACGTGGCCACGGCTACACATGTACAATGTCAAAGTTTCAGTCAATTTTATGCTGTATGCGGCGCGTATACAGTGCCATTGGAAGTATGATGGTAAGGAAATGTAAGTATACAGTGATGTTACACTGCGCTCTTTTCTGTATTTCATTCTCTTTGTTGTTATAGTAACACTTCCTGTGGTGTTAGTTCGTGAATGTCAGATGTAGTAAACTGAGCCTAAAACACAAACACCATAGGCAGAAGTGATTGATCAATGCCGACACATATAAATGAGCAAAACATTTTCGCGTAGCACATTTTCATGCTGAAATATTTGCAATGTTCTTTATTAACCTATATGTGTATGTGATGTGTAATGTTTTCTGTGCGTAAGTGGTTTTTTATTTATTCTTTGTTTTTGTCGGAGGCGGAATCACGATAGCTTTCGAGATTGATTGATTGATTGATATGGGGGGTTTAACGTCCCAAAGCCACCATATGATTACGAGAGGCGCCATAGTGGAGGGCTCCGGAAGTCCCGACCACCTGGGGTTCTTTAACGTGCACCCAAATCTGAGCACACGGGCCTACAACATTTCCGCCTCCATCGGAAACGCAGCCGCCGCAGCCGGGATTTGATCCAGCGACCTGCGGATCAGCGACCGAGTACTTTAGCCACTACACCACCGTGGCGGGGCTACGTTTTGAGATTCCTGGTATAAGTGAACTCAGCGGAAGAGAATGCTGGCTATGCGTTTTTTGTTTTTTCATATTTGCCGCCTATACATTTTTAGGCCATTCTGAAAGTGCAAAGCTTTCGCGCAGTGACAAAGAGAATGCGGTGCATAACAACGGAATATTTACGACGCGCGTGGAAGAGCGGCTGCTGACAGCATGCATATAAATACAACTGCAAACTCCCGAGTCTCGCGGAAACCCTCCACGTATGTCCGAAATAACCTCTGCAGGTCTGGACCGTTTTAACTATAGCTCACGTTTCCGCTTATATTGTGCTCCTTTGCGCTTAGTTGTCCTTTTATTTTTCTATTCAGCACGTCTCCGTTTGACAGCAGAATGCGTGACGTCACGCCACGCGCGAGAGCTTTTTGTTGCGTCATTCGACACCCCGCGGATGGTCGACCTAAAGGGTGCCGTGCCAGACAGGAAGGCGTCACGCAAGAATGCAGACACAAACACTTCATCGATTCTCACTGAGAGGGCGAAATGGAAATGGCAGAAGCTCGTAATGTCGAAGCTCGAGGTTATCTTCGGGCTGTCATGCATTGTTGCAAGCGAGAAATTATTTCAACCTTGCAATATTACGGATCTTGTACTTTTCTCTCATCCACTGTCATCTGTCCTACAGCATTGATTCACGGGGTTGGACTTACACTATACATACCTGGAGCCTTTACGAAAACTACAGAGGCGCTCGCTAAGAATAATAACGCACTCAAGCCACGATCATCCCAGCGCACTCCTGTTTTTTAAACTACAAATTTTACCGATGGACAGTTTGCGTCAACAAAGAACAGCCATCGCCATTAATAATATCATAAGGTATAACCGTCCTGTTCATTCGTCCATTCTTTGCTCCTCATCCCACCCTACGAGGAATACTGGTGCCGGTAATTTTAACCTTCCTCCCACGAATAACGTCTATGGAGAACGGCGTCTGCAGTTCGTCGGCACCAAAATCTGGAATGGATTGCCCCAGGATATAAAATCGGCTGTTAACTTTCCTCTGAAAAAAAAAAAAAAACACTTCCTTGCAATCCTTAATGTGTCTCCGTAACCCCATTAAAAGTAACAAAATCGTCCAATTCTTGCATATAAGTAACACTACGTCCAGTGAAAGTTTACTGCGTAGTTGTTATTACTCATTGCCTTTCTTTTGTTTGTGTATAAAAATGACATGTTTCTGATATCTTACCCAAGTTAGAGTATCTGAATATATATGTCTGTACAATGCCTAACATTCTTTACTAATCCGCAATGTTCAGCATCTTGTATCCTGGTTGAATGCCTTGTTCTATTGTTTTGCTACATGTGCTATTGTTGCCTTGTGCTATCATTTGGATACTGTGCCATTTTGTATCGCATAATTGGACCCTATTTTAGCCTTTGGCTATGGGTCCAAACAGTTTTTTTGATCTATCATGTTGGAATTGAAAATAAAGTGAAATGAAAAAGCTTCAAACTAATGCAGCAAGCTATTTGTTAATGATCATAATTATAATTCCTGTGCTAAACATGACAAGCGCTATTGAGTCAAACGTAATTCTAAAGGGGTTCATAGTAACTACATCGGGTGTATCGCGCGCTCTGTTCAGTCACGAAGAAGGATAACAACATAGATATTTGCGACATATGTCACATCATTACGATGACATCTAAAAAGTATTTTTGTCCTCTTGATACAGGGCGCGCATTTCACTTCTGAAACACGTATTTTTGATGCGCATAAAGAGGATTTACAAGTTGAGCGGATTTACCATATATCATCGCTATATTGCATTTAAGCTATACTCGCTAAAATGAGAAAGCAGGACCCCGCACTACAGTACGAGGAGTTTTATGGGAGTTCGCCTAAATAAGTATGTAGTATCTCATTCCAAAAATCTTATAAACAAAGACCTGGATATGGCGCGTATTTGGAGTGGCTTACCCATATTTCTGTAGGGGCTGACGTTTGGTTCGATACATAAGCTTCAACCACGTCTTAACCGAAAAAAAGGAGAAAACTCTGGCATAAATTAAATAATAATAACGCAAATAATAATGAAAGTTTTATTCAATGACGACAAAGGATACCTCGATTTGATGGCAGTGATATCAGTGTTGCACGACCGAACTACCGGTGGTAACCAGTGTCATAGCAGCAAACCACAACCATAATGATGCCTATACAAACATTGCTGTAAATAATAAAAAAAAACGTCGTATGCTGGTGAGGTAGCTCTTGGCAAGCTCAAAAGATGCGCTCAGCAAGTAGCTTTGTAGGCTTTACACACTGAGCGAAATCAATAATGACAAGTGTTGTAACATGTGACCACCGATAAATGGGCCAGTGTCATTGACCTATAGTATACTGTTCTACCGGCAGGTGGTAACGTATAGTACTATATATATATATATATATATATATATATATATATATATATATATATATATATATATATATATATATATATATATATATATATATATACATATATATATATATATATATATATATATATATATATATATATTGCTAGACCATAACGCGTACAATGTTTCACTATTTAGCACTTGACCTCAGAAGCACATGTAAGAGATCTAAGTAGTCACCCCAATAATTTACGCTTAATACCGGAGCATCTCTGCTTGCAGGCCGATACAATGAACTGGATAGTGTACATGAGCAATATTAAATCGCCATTGCGTACGACGTGTTATGAGGTCGACTTCGCGGCAAATATTGCTGTATCAGTCTGTGTAATGTACAACGAGTAAATGCGTTGTTTGAGTGGGAACCAAATGAGTGTGCCAACAAAAATATTTTTGTGCACGGGTTTCGATAGCGCAGGAGGCTCAGGTTTTAGAATAAGGCTTTGCGTTGAATGTTGCAGGTCTTGCGCTTGCGTTTCTCTGTGTTACCTAAACAAGAAAGACTATATCAACTTCACGCGTGATTACTCCAGATACTGCATACCGGCTCGTCCACGCTGAAATGCCACACAGAGATTACATTTGATGGTGCGGGTTTAATATTGCGTTGGGGCTTATTATACGAACGTCATTTATGGAGAATAATGAGCACTCACCGTGTGCGGCATCTCCCTACAATATGGCATATAATTTACGAGAACGGAACGGTGGCCAACCATCACGTTTTGTAGAACAGCCACCATCTCGTTTTCGCAACGTTTACACATAACAACAGTCAGCTGATGTTAAATATTCATTTTAGGAGATGGGGCGTTCAAACAATGCCACACACACAAAAAAAGAAGAGTCAACACACCACAACGCCTTGGCGTCTTTATGTCTTGTTGTGGTGTTTGTGGTGTCAACTTTTTTTTTTCGCCTGTTCATATTCAAACGGCCTGTCTCATTTGTGCCTGGTGTTGCCGCATGCTATGGACGCTTACGATTTATTCGGCACACGAGACACGAACGATACACCAAACATGGCGTTAAACCTGTACGCATGGCCGAAAGCCACCACTCAATGCCTCCCTCGGCTATAACGATGCATCGATTTAGCTGCAATAGTAAAATGTACAATCTGCCCTTGCGACTTTAGACATGGCGGGCGTTCGTATGCGGGTACGAAACTTCAGTGGCAGCAGGGTGTGCTTTCGTATGCTGACAATTCTCGCGAGCGGGCATTCGTAACAACCTGATAGGTGTACGTCTGCCATATGGGCTCATTTTACGCAACTGCGTGTATATAGGCTCATTTTATGCGTGTATATAGGCTCATTTTGCGTGTGTATATAGGCTCATTTTGCGCGAAATGAGCTCATTTGAAACCCTCTGACAATCAATGCACTTGTGACCCTCTGTAGACACATGTATACGTCTATAAGCCGTCTACAAAAAGTCCTGACAATATTAGCAACACGTCGCGATGTTCACTTTATAACGCATGCAAGACGTTTTCACAAGATGCTGAGAACGCTTAGTGCCCGAACATGTCAGATGTATTGTAGCTGCAGTGTGAAGATTAATGCAGCTCCAGATGTGACACAACAGGCTCCTCGCAAGGGCTTCGAAAAGAGCCCTGAGAAGACGCCGTATAGAGTCGTCCTGTGGCTGTCTTGAACGCTCGCATAGGTTTTTGATGCTGGGTGGTTTCGGTCGGTCACAGATGTCCAAGAAATGTGTTCAGTGTGTTCGGCGGGTGCATAACCGAGATGATCAGCGCTTAAGGTACGAGTTCTCGAGGAAGTCGAGCATGTAGATGTATCCGAGCGAGTAGAGCTTTCTCCGGTTGCGCATGTTCAGTGGCGGGTATTCGGCGTCCGCCCTGTACACCTTCAGGGTCGGCTCGGCCTCGGCTTCGGCCAGGTCTTCCAGACTGAGCACGGCGTTGCGGCTGAGGTAGGCGGGGTAGTCCGGCAGGCGCACGTAAGGGTTGTGCTTGTGACGGAAGCTCGAACTCTGGGCTGAGAGACGATCCCGTCTCCCGTAGTGTACCTGCAGAGGAAATGAAAGTTTCTTCGAGGACATTTTCAGTTCCATGCAGATTAATACATACAAATATTCACTGGCTGTTTCGTAAGGTAACAAAAAGACTAACCTTTTGGCTCTTTGGGTTGCAGAGCGTAGAGAAATGCAGTAGCCGAGAGGCCAGTACCTCAATCTTCCCACAGCAAGCAAGCAAGTCACAGCAAAACAGAACAGTGGTTCACAATGCGTGCATCATCAGTACCACTCCAAGCCAATGCACCCCTTTGTTCAAAAGGAAGAGAAGGGTTTTCTCTAGGGAGCAGCGGGGCAGCCCACGTGGTATGTATGTATGTATGTATGTATGTATGTATGTATGTATGTATGTATGTATGTATGTATGTATGTATGTATGTATGTATGTATGTATGTATGTATGTTTGTATGTATGTATGTATGTATGTATGTATGTATGTATGTATGTATGTATGTATGTATGTATGTATGTATGTATGTATGTATGTATGTATGTATGTATGTATGTATGTATGTATGTATGTATGTATGTATGTATGTACGTACGCTATTACGTACGCTATCACGTACGCGTGAATCCGAGCTTACCGGTAGGTGGGGCTGTGGCGGCAGGAGAACCAGCGGTTGGTGAACGTGGTGCACGGCGTGGTGCAGGTGCTGCACCGTGACGTACGTCTTGTGCGCCGGGGCGCGGGCCAACAAGGGAACGTGTCCCGTCGTGATCAACACCGGCACATGGTGGTTTGTCTCCCTGTGCAGCTGGTAGCCGTACGAAGTGCTGATCGAAGAGGCGGCGGCGTGGTGGCCGCCTCCTCCACTTGCAGCGGCAGTTCGCGTCGTGTCTGCGGTGCGGCCTTGGGCGGCCGTCTTGACCGGAGGGTGGTTGATGACCAAGTATGTCTGCACCTCCTGAGAGAGACAGCATGGTGGAGTGAACTCGCGTTCATGCTTGTATAGTAAGACAAAGAGACAAGTTCCTTGTGTAAAATACACGCAATTTAATTTTTGAGAAAGAACTGCGCCAATGACAAGTGAGAGAAAACGAGATCAGTGCGTGTACACTATCAAGTGAAAAGCCTTATTGAGCAATCTAATAGCTTTCAGCTGATTGCAAGCGTCGGCGTCATTCCTTCACTTGTTCTCACTTGAAAATTCAATTATTCATTATTACAGCTTGTGAGAGACCAGTCACAACAACTGTGCGTTCGCATGACTCAGGATTGTGCAGAAGCTTAATAAAAATAGAGTCACAGTCCCATCGCTGCGACTAAGGAAGGAAGCTTAGAAGATAGCAATTGAAATGTTATACGAAGTAAGGCTAGCGGCTCACTGCTTTAAAGAACGCGGCCGCTACCGCGAGTGAAGTGACATTTGTGCTGTCTGTGGCTTCAACAAAACTTTTCGGGGAGAATACAAAACGTACAAGGGTATGTGCCGTCTGCGGATCCCCTCAGTAGATAACGGCGGCGTACGCGAACCGGGCAATGACGCCCGGGCAAATGTAGCATTTTCTGCGGGACGTACGCAACCCACCCTCCGGCTCCTTTACATCTCCGCGCGTCTTTGGTGCGACGGACACGGCAGGCCTGTTTCATCTCTATCTGAGCCACCTACGTATGTTCAGCATTCGTGAGCTTTCACAATAACATAGAACATAAGACGCGCCTGGCGACGCTATCACTTTTGGACTTCACGTAAAACATGACTGCGACGCCGACAGTGATGGTGAAAATTTGCCTCAAGTGTTCACTTGATTGCTATCTCAATAAAAATTGGGAGTATATTTTAAATACACGAAAGAATCTCACAGCCGTTCTTATAGCCACTACAAACAGTGTAGAAGACTTATTTTTTTAATGCGAAGCATTTCGTTTGCTTACTTCAAGCGCTTTTGGCATCTATCCACGTATTTATATCTATCTATGTATTTATCTATGTGTCTATATATCTAGCCGCTAACATCTAAATGCTCTTATGATCACCCCCTTAGCTTGGGGTAAACAAAAAATTTGTATGGGAGAGTAAGAAGGTTTGGCAAATACGACAGGCTGGTCATGACATGAATAATGCCACAATCCCGTCGCGTACATCGTCAAACGTTTTGCCCCAGACCCGTGGCACTAATATGCGGGTATGTACCACAGGTGATTGACACTTAGTATTCACTATAGTGAATTAGAACATGATATTCTAGTTCACTGTAGTATCCACCTAGAACGCACGTGGGTGTGTTAAGAAAAAGCTGACATCGGCTGCGTTGACCAGACGAATGCATAGAATAAATGTCAGCGTCCCAACAGGAATCGAACCCCAGTATTCTGCGGGGCAATCAAGTATTATACCACAAAGCCACGTCAGGTCTCGCATCTACATTGAAAGAAACGCTAATGTTCATGAAACGTCAATTGTGGTTGCAGTGCTGGCTATTCAATTTCGTAAACCTTGCATATGTACTCCTTTGATAAAGCCATCTCGTCCACCCACTGACTTATGTAGCAGTTTCCAGAGCTGCCATCCTCGCGTGCACCACGGCTTCATACCAGCTTATCGATTCTGGTTTTGCCAATACTCTGTTTCTATCGACATCATTGCGCAAGTGCAAAGAGCTGGTTGCATGAATATCTGCAAATGTTCAAAATACGTTTGTGCGTGCAGCATTTGTACATACATTTAGCGTCATTTTATGAGGTGTCGTTCAATAAGATTACTAGACAGTCACCTTCCCTCCCCATGCTTCGCATAACGTCGATTCCCAAGGTACGTGAGAGCTGCCGAATTTTCAGATGCGTTGCGTCTTAGGGCCAAGCTCAATCCGGTGTGCGGCGTGACCACACTTACTGCGAATGCGTGTCCCCTTCACTTATCTCCTTTCCTACGCTCTCCACTCTCGCATCGCAACGCTGACAGCGTCTGCTTGTCTACGCTCGCTCTCCACTCTCTCTTTTCTAGGCATCCCTCCCAGCGGCGCCTACACCCCATTGCGCATGCGCGCTCCTCATCCACTCTCCTACGCTTCCCTATTTCTCGCCTTGCGATCCCGATGAAGGCAGCGTTTGATAGTGTGTTTCTTGATTGAAAAAAATTACAGCATATTAATGGGGTGAATAATGATGAGTTGGCGAGGATTTGAAGGTTCCATCGATACGCTTGAGTCTAGCGAGAATTCCGCGCAGTCAATTACCATGTAAAGACGGCGAGCACACGCTGCAGCCATTTTCCGAGCCCTCTGTTCCACCGCCTTTTCTTTCGTCGCTCATACTCGAAGCACACAGACTGCCGGCGAAAGAGGAAGCGTGCCAAGAGCGAACGTACTATAACGCAAGAGAGAACGTAGTCTCTTGTCACACGAGAGGATGCAGCGAGGGCCGCAGCGACATCTCGTATTCAATTCATCATGGATGGACGGATTGACTGATATGACTGTACCCTTTAGATCGGGTGGTGACTAGCGCCACCGAGCCGTAATACTTAGTGTACCAAGAACTAGATTTATCTTTTTTTTCCCTTTAAATAGTGAGGTTGAGGATCGGTACTTTGCCATGAAGGGCTTAATTTTCACTCGTGCCTCGACTTTGGCCACCAATCAGATAACCTCCTTCTAGTTGATTCAACTCGTTTAAAGTCTATTTTGCGCTCCCTGTCCCTAAACCCCAGTGCTTTGAAAAACTCTGTGCCATCATCCTAAACTATAGGGTGACGCCCTTTACAGAACATTATCAAGTGTGCGGCAGTTTCCTCCTCCTCTTCACACGCACTGCATAAAAACTCCTATGCCACGCGAGCGCCATCTTGTGATGTCTCATTACACTATATGCGCTCCCATGCATTTTCAATGGAGCGAGCACCTCAGCGCCATCGACACTAGAGATGGCTACGAGAACGCGGGACTTGTCTACGCCTTAACGAGCTTCAACTCTATCAAAAAAAAAAAAAGAAGGCATAGGTGCTCGCACTGCACAACTGTTCACGGGCCACCCGCATATATAGACACTGGATACTGACCTGCAAGGCAGTGCCGGTGGGAGATTCATCCTATGCGTTTTTGAACAGAAAAAAATCGTATCGTGCGCATTAACTAAAACTGGATTGCGCGTCTCTGTGTACAATTGGAGTCCTCTGTCATTACCCATCAGCAGCGATTGGCATGTCCTTTACACAAGAGGAAACAGTCTTGCGTAACACCGGAATGACCGCCAGCGTCAACGCCGCCACCAGTGTAAGCGTTAGCGCCCGCTCTTCGCATCTGCACATGGTTCCCTTTAGCGGGAGATGGTGTAACTTTTTTATTGCCCACGCGCACACCTTAAACTCGCAAAAGATGACACAGTGTCCTTTTCGGATACAACAGAGCGGCCCTTTGTCTCATGGAACCCATTTACACGCTATGGGCATCCCGTAGACTACCAAAACGGCTGCTAATTCCGTTTTGCATAGGATGACCTCCACTTATAGAATGGGATTGTGTACGCAACCCATCAGCACCGCCTATCACTGGGCGAAACGTCGAGCCGTGAGAAGCACAGTTGGCCAGCTCATGCTATGAAGACCAACAATGTCTGGTGGGGACGGGAGTGATTTTAAACGAAAAGAAGAGAAAAGTGAGCCCTGTAACTGTCTCTCAGGGGGAGGACACCACAACAGTAGCTCACGAGGGGTGGGGGTAAGGGGGAATGAAAAGAATGAGATTAAAAGGTGTAGAGATAGCGGGATGGAAGCAAAGAGCGATGCGCAGGGACATGAACATAGGGCAGTAAGATAAGATAGTAAAGATGGACGCGATCGCAGGAGTCCGAGGACGGGGCACCACTCAGCGAGAGCTCTTGTCGGCGTCAGGAAATGACATAGGGTGAGCCAGTCGGCCAGAGCTGTGCTGTCGTCGGAGATCACGGGGGCGCAACCTGTCGGCACGAAATCCAGTGAGCGAGTCCTTGTCTGGTGAACAAGGTCTAGCAGAAATCCTGGAAGGACGCTGCCTATGTTGGACAACTCTGCCGTCAGCTCGCTCTATATATTGAACAAAATTTATTCTCACCCCTTACCAAAGAGCATAGCATTTCTTTAGCTACTCCTGCAACCACTGTGGCAGATCCAACCCATAGCCGCGACAGGCACCAGCATCGCACATCGCAAGAAGGATGCCAGCGCCGCAGAGCAGCAAACAACTTCATATGTTTCGTGTACAACGACCCCAAATGCTGTCAGCTCAGCACAGTCCGTATCTACATTGGATAAACATAAACAAAACATTCAAAGTGATCAGACGGCCTCTATATGATACCGAAGCCCGATGCTGCGATGACTATGCCACTGGTGAGCAGCTCACCTAGTGGAAGAGAACACAAATTTTTAAAATGTTTCAGTGGAACAAGTCTGCGCATTCAGAAGCTTGGCGCGGTTTACTCAAAGCTGGTACAGCTTCGTGAACAATTTCTTTTAGGGGCAAAGTTCCTTAAGCCATGGGTCGTGCGTCCGTGATGTATGTAGTAGTAGTAGTCGTAGTTGTCATCGTCGTAGTAGTAGGTAGCCACCTCCACGGCCAGACTATAGAGCAGCACGCACGCACTCTTTTGAATTGAGGTGGAAACCCGCGCACGTTAATATTAATAAAAAAGACAGTTGTTTCTCATGAAATAACCTACAGAGACGAGTATCGATGACTTAATCTCCAATAAAATTTGCCTTGAATTCAATGCTAACAGAAAAAAAAGTAGTAACAGAAGGACGCATTTTGAGCACTATCTGACGAGAAAAGATTTCCGCGTTAAACTCGCAGGGCGTAACCTCCTTTGCAATATTTTTTGTGGCTGTGTTTGAGTGAACCATCGAATGTACATGTTCTTTCAACGTCTTCTCATATTCATGTTCATGCCCCGCCGCGGTGGTCTAGTGGCTAAGGTACTTGGCTGCTG